ATAGGGTCCATTTCCTGACTCTACATCCCTGCACACATGCCCCCTTGGGGGATGCCTCTGTCTCCCCTGATCCCCATATAGTCTAACTTGGACTTGAGTGTCAGCCAATACCCTCCAACACGGCTCACTAAGCCCTCTCATATAGACCACCAGTCACTTCCTTCCATCTTACAAATAAAACGAGCATTTTCAGTCCTGATTTTTCTCTCCATCTCCAAGGCCTCTGCACTGCTGAAGATGTCCTTCTACTTAACGCGGTCTTCTCTTTAGCTTCTAGGACATGTGACTGCCTGCTCGGAGGACTCCTCCTTAGCCCTCTTCCTGGAAATCTCAACCACTGGCTTCCTTAATTGTTGATGTTGCCCAGAATTCTGTTTCCATCCTTCTTCTCTGTAAAAACCATGGATTCAAATATTACTGGTAATATTTATAATCTATGCCTAAGTTCGATTTCTTTCCACAGCTGTGTTGTGGACACCCAGGTCTGGATGACCTTCAATTCACCACTCTTGATTCCCGAATTCCCTAGAGAATGGCACACAAAGACCTGAAATAGAATCTGAAATCTCTCCTCCTACCCTCTCCTTATGTTCTGTCACATCTACAGCTTGTATTCAACCATATCCATTTTATCCTTTTATGTATCTCTCATAGTTTATTCCCACCCATCACCATCATAAGGACATAACGCCAAGCCTTCCGTAGGACTGGTGTAGTACCATCTCATATTGTCCCTAGTTACAGAAAAGGGGCACAATCTCAACCTATTTTATAGAATATGTAAAAGGATAAATGAAGAAATTATACACTATTTTGAGTAAACAATTCAATAAATAACTAAACAGACCAGTCAATTCAGATTCAACCATTCTGATGACACATGAGTCTGTTATTTCCTGGAGGGTCGCTCTGTTCACCTCTCACTCTAACTCATTTCCCCCTCTCTTTGTTCCTGCATGTGTTATGGAATCGGCCTACTCACAGTTTCTGCTTTCTCATGACTTACTGCTCATGACTTGGAATAACCACATCATCATCTCCTGGTTTCATCTGTGTAGCACTTGAACTTCAGCTCATGCTGCTAACTGCCTTGTTCTTTCTGTACTTCCAAAACCAAGTACTTAAGGGCAAGCAATTGATGGAGCTGGCTCATTGTTAAAATTCCAGTCCATGGATTAAGTGTCTGTCGCTCCCCCGCCCACCGAGGAGCCACACCAGATGCTGTTGATCCCCCTTCAGTAGGGTTTTTATTACAGTAAAGCAAGAGCAAGTAAAGAGAAGAAAAAAGGAGCGGACGAACCAACAAACTCTCTAACGAACTCCCCAACGAACTCCCTCCTGTGCCGTCTCTCTCCCCCTTTATAGTCCTCTCCCACCAATCCGTGCTCCGCTGTCCACACGCTGAGCACGCCGTTCTCTTCCAATCAGAGGTTGGATCAGCTCCTGCAGCTTCTAGCAGTCAAATTGATGAAGCAGCTGTGTAAAATTTGTTTAGCTCCTCTCAGTGCCATGTTGTGGGAGACGGGCCCTGCCTCCCACAGTGTCCTTGCATAGGAATCTAACCTAGTCCACCACAGTGTCATTGGTCATGAAGAGCCCCATGATCTAAACCATGGCTGTCAGGGTTGTGTTTGGCAAGGACAGAATCAGAGCAAGTGCTGTGCTAGACAGGTAAACACAACCACTCATCACATTGCTCCCAGAATATCAGGAATTTTTACCTCCAAAACAGGTGAGATGGGAGCCCATTTGAGGGGGTTGGAATATTGGGGCTGGCGCTGTGGCATAGTAGGTTAAGCCTCCCCTTGCATCCCATATGGTCTCTGGTTTGAGTCCCGGCTATTCCACTTCCAATCCAGTTCTCTGCTTATGGCCTGGGAAAGCATCAGAAGATGGCCCAACCACTTTCACCCCTGTATCAGTGTGGCAGACCCAGAAGAAGCTCCTGGCTTTGGATCAGCCCATCTCTGGACATTGTGGCCATTTGAGGAGTGAACCAGCAGATGGAAGGCCTCTCTCTCTCTCTCTCCCCCTCTCTTTGTCTGTAACTATGCCTTTCAAATAAATAAATAAATCTTTTAAAAAATCCAACCAAGTCAAACTCTACTCAGGAGTGCTGAAAGTTCAAATCCCAGAATGGTCTTGAGGGACCTTAGCTAGGCTACTGGGGGGACCACAAGGACCAGCCAATGTCCTAAGAATACCATTTCCCAACTCTGGGTGGCCCAGCACAAAGGTTCAGAGGCAAAACAGAAGCAAGTGCCAACTCTGCTTTTTCACTTCTGGTCTGCCCCACCTTCCCAAAGCGTGCTTTCTTATATTTTAAGTAACATTTCTCCTGATGACAACATGCCATGCTTTCATGTGCGGGTGGCTGTTGGCTCACACCATTCTGCTTGGCACCCCCTCCTCATTTTTCCACATTCCTCATTGGTCTCCAAAGATTGAGCCCGAGTGTGGCTGTTGTGTTTTGGAAGTATTCTATTCCTCTGTCTGGTCTGTGTCTATACAGACAGGTTGCCAGTATGGACACATTCAGCTACCAGTCTGGGAAACCCTGCCCCACCAGCCTGTAGGCAGATACACGCAGCATCTGGCAGAGGTTTAAGGACTAGGAGATGCTGGAGCAGGTGGTACGTGTGATTCTCTTGATTCTCTTTTACCTCATGGTTTTAAGGTGGCTGCAGCAGCTCCAGGCAGTTCCCTTGAGCGCCAGACAGAGGCTGGATCAGCCTTGAATATGCAATTTTCTCCTTTTTCAACATTAATAAAAAAAAAGCCTTTTTGGGACTGGTGTTTAGCCTGGTGGGAAGATGCCTTTTGGGGTCTCCACATCCCATCTTAGTGTCTGGGTTTGTGTCCTGGCTCCATTTCCAATTCCAGATTCCTGCTAGTGCACACCCTGGAAAGACACAGATGATGGCTCAAGTACTTGGTCCCTTGCTACCCACGTGGGAGACCCGGATGGAGTTTCTGGCTCCTGGCCCAGCCCCAGCTGTTCCAGGCATTTAGGGAGTGAACTAGTGGAGGATAGATCTCTGTCTCTCTGCTTCTCCAATCAATAACTAACAACTAAACCATTCGGGAAGAGTCCAGCTGATTTTGGCCTCTCTCAGTTTCTCACTAACCTGTGTCCTAGTCACGCCTAGCTTCATGGCAGGACGAGGAAGAGAGCTGTGGTCAGGATAACGGAGGCTGCAGGGTTCCGGCGCAGTGTGCTGGGCCAGCACCATGGCCCTCTCTGTGCTCCTACCCCAGCATCTCCCTCTCCCTCCAGGACAGAAGCCTCTGAAAGTTAGGGAGAGTGTCTGTCAACCCTGTTTCCTGGGGGCCTGACTTGTACCTCCAGCACAGGAAGGCGTGTTTTGAATCAACAAGTGCACCACACATCCTCTGTGAGCGATTTGGACAGCAGAGCAGGAGGAGGAGCTGTCCCTGTCCCTGGCCACCCCAAAGGGCTATGCTTTTCTCTGAAAGGTAAGGACTGACCTGGTAGTGGCCAAGCTGGTGCTAGAAGGGTGCTGCCCAGGAAAGCAACCTGGGGCAGGGCCGCGTCTCTAACTGGAGCACACATTCGGATCACCTGGAGGAGGCATCACCATGCCCCTGACTCAGGCCTCACCACTCACCACTGGAAACGCCCTCCGGGCTGGGCCCCTTGTCTTTTATGTTGAGCTGGAGCCAGCCCTGGCCAGCTGTCCCCCTCCTTCTGAGTTCTTTTTCAGTGAGATCCTGCTGCTGGCTGGCCATCAGCCCAAACAGGATGGTTCTGCCACAGCAATGGACAAGCAAGATAAATAACACAGCAGTCCCACCCCAGCCCCTCCCCAAGAACCACTTCACCTCATGCCTGCTTGCTGGCTTTAAAACTTTCCCAGGTGTTTCCAGTGAGGAGCCATACTGCAGAGCCCGTGGTCCACTGGGCATTGCTGCCAAGGGACAGAGGACTTCAGAAGTTTATGGAAAATGGATTCAGAAGAGAAGTTGTTTTTTGAGGGAAAATGCTATTTAAAAATCCATGCATAGTTTCTTTATAATGCACATTTTTCATGAACATTTTGAAGACCCCTCACATACATAGATTTCACTATTTTTGGACGTACCCTTGCATTTTTCACAGCTCCCCATGTGTTTCCAATGGGCAAGTTTGGGAGCACCTGGCTGATCAGGGTCAATCAAGTAGGGATGGAGGAATTTGGCATAGTTGTTAAGCAACTACTTGGGATGCCATATCAGAGTGCCTGGGTTGCAGGCCCAGCTCTATTCCTGATTCTAGCTTCCTGCTAATGTATACCCTGGGGACAGCAGGTTATGGCTCAGGCACCTGAGTCCCTGACACCCACCTGGGGGACCCAGATTGAATTTTGGGTTCCCAGTCTCAAACCAGCCCAGCCCTGGCTCTTGTAAACAATTAGGGAATGAACCAGTGCACGGGACTGCTCTCTCTCTCTCTCTCTCTCTCTCTCTCTTTACCTCTTAAAGAGAAGTAAAATAAAGATTTAAAGGATATAAAAAAAGGTTAACCCCTCTTTTAGCCTGTAGTGTTTGGCCAAGTAGTACTTTCGGTCTCCTTTTGCCCTACCTTTGGGTCAGCATCCTAGTGTGATGTGACGTGGTTTGCCTCTATGACACCCTAGTGAAGTATAGGAGAGAAAGTAGAATTGTGGTTCCATTGTTTGTTATTCTCTTTGTATACAACTTAACGTCTGCACGTCTTTCTGTATCCCTCTAGGGCTGGGTCTCCGGGAGAATGTTAATTCATTGAGGGAGGTGGGGGAACCTGGAATGGTGTTGTGCTAGAGGAGCCTTAATTACCCACTCCTGAGATTGCAATTGCTCACTTAGAGGCATAGTTATTGCCATTGGCCAGGTCTGACTCCACTGGCTGGATCTGCTTTGAGCAAAGCAGGCTCCACCCCACCCCGGGGTGGCCTCTGTGCAGCTGCCACATAACACATGGACTTCCCTTGCATCATAAATCCACGCTATGAAAGCCCTAAACTTCCTTCGTCTTGCATAGGCAGATTAGTCATCTTCTGGGTGAGGCAGACAAGGCACTAGCTTGAGTGAAACTACCACCACTGTGGGATTGGAAGTGCTGATGGCACACTTTGATTCAGCAAATTGTCAGTGTTCCACGGAGCACCCAGAAGTCCAGGGACAGAGAGGATCATGAAAAGCTAGGACCTGGGTGATGGGATCCTAGAGAACCCTCAAAGCTAGAGGGCAACTTTGGTCTCTGCCACCAGGGGGCAGAAGGAGCTGGCAGGACGGTCCTTCACTGCGTTGGAGGTGGGTGTCCAATCAGGATTTATTCCAGGGAAGCGGCTGGAGCAACCCAACAGTCACAGTTCACGATATGGACGATGGGGCTTTCTGGGGAGAGGGATGACCAAGGGCAACTTATGACAAGTGCTCTGATTTCTGTGCTAGTTTCTCTGTTTAGACACCATGCTGAATAACTTAACAGGACACACCTCTTAAACTTTTTCTTACCAGGAAGTTGCTGAGATTAGGAGGGCTTGAAAATTATAAACTTGAGGACTAAAAGACACTGTGCAGGAAAGTAACATTTTGAGACAGAAACCTGTATAGAACGTTTTACAGTGTCAATGAATAGAGCAGACCTAGACAAGGACTAGATTATAGGACAGAGGGAAGTTGCTGACCTGAGCTTGTGCCTTGTGTATAGCCCCCCGACCCCCACATCAGCTCAGAGGCAGAGGGTCGAGAATTGACCAAGTAACTCAGGTCTCTTGCAAGATTGACCCTGGGGCAAAAAAGGTCCTTTCTAGTATGTCCATCTGCCCCCAAAAGGTCATAAATTTATGCTTATATACCTTTATCATTTCTGGGCTTTTGTTCCTATTTCCTTTTTTTTCCTGATCTTTCTATCCTCCATAACATAGTAAAAACACCAGTTTCTCTAAATAAATTACCTTATTTTAAAGGCAGAGAGAAAGAGAGGACATGCGCTCCCTACCCTTGCTCACTCCTCCAATTGCCCATAATGGCCAGGGCTGGAGCAGGCAGGAGCTAGGAGCCCTGAACTCAGTCTGGGTCTCCAACATTGTTGTCAGGGACTTGAATGCTTGAGCCACCATCTTTTGCCTCCCGGGGTGCATCTTAGCAGGAAGCTAGACTTCAGAACAGAGCCAGGACCGAAACCCAGGCACTATATTACAGGATGCAGGCATCCCAAGTTGTGTTGTAACTGCTGCTTCAGGTATCCACACCTTTTGGTGTTTTGCACATAGTTCTTAGTGTGATAGTCTCTGCTAAATTTTTCTAATAACTTATGTTGACTCAACTTCTGACTCTGCAGAGTCAGCTGGATAAACAACTCACTTCTGCCTGCCCTATTTGCTGGCTGAAGACAGGCTGCTGAGACAGAATCTTGGTAAAGGAAACAGTACAAAGAAATATCCCCATTTTCTTACTTTTCTTGGGTTTTACAGGACAGAATCCTTCCCGGCAGGCAGGGATGTGTCGGAGTCATCGTATTCCTCCGCTGTTGTAGGACTAGCTACAACCGAGAAGCTTGGGTTTTGAAGCCATTTCTTCCTCCCCTCCTCCCCATCTTGAACAACCAGGTAAGACTGGAAGTATGTTTGGTAGTTTTTTTTTCCCACATGAGTGTTTCACCATCAATGTCCTTTTTATCAACCCCTGTCCCCCTCCACACTTTCTTTTAGCAACAGCTATTAAAATTTGTGTACCCTCTTACCCTCTTGCCTTTCTAAAGACTTGTGAGTTAATCCATTTATCATGAGCATACCTACGTTATTCAAGGAAACTCCCAAAGATAAAGTCAACCTGGACAAAATTCTGAGTCTGGGAAGTTTTGGTTTCCACTTTTTCAAACTCTGTTCTCCCTAGTTACTTACCTTGCAAACATCTTTCTAATTTTCTAAACTCTTCCTCTTGTCAAAAGCAAAATCATTTGTACCGTGATTCCAACGTATCCATGCCATCCGGTGAATGAGGTCATGGTGCTGCTCAAAAGTTGTTTTTATGGGAAGAAACAAGATCAAGAGAAAAGAAAATCTAAAGATGTGATTTTAGTAAAAGCAATGCCAATTATGGCAATTATGTGGCCTGCTTAGATATTAGTACTATTCACCATGCAGTATATTATTGACAATTCCTTGTTAAGTGACAGCTGATTTTGCTGCACATTTTATCTGATTAGAATAATTTGTTACTCAAATGCAGTTCACCTGGGAACTGGATAGGCTCTCAGGACCCACCTCAGTTGATAAACTGCTTCAAAATCTGCATTGCACCGAGATTCCCAGGGGATGTAATTCCACAATCAGATTTGAGGAACAGGGCTCTACAGGAGCGCACAGAAGAGAAAGAGGTCGCCGCTGAGAATCAGAAGGAGGCCCGACGCTTCTCTGCAGCGAGGATTCCCAGTGCCCTTCAGAGCTTTCATGCTCATGGGCTAAGGTGGGGCCGGCCATGTGCTTTCTCCCCAAGTACCCTCAGTGTTGAGAGCCACGGTCAGTGCCTACTTGCTTCTTTACAGAGAAGGGAGTGAGGAGTGGGAAAGAGCCTGCAGCTAGACGGTGGGACGAATGTTCCAGAACAACACAAGGGACTTCAGAGAGGTCTGAAGTCTGAAGTCTGAAGTCTGTTCCCTGTGCTTTCAGGTTCATACGGATGCTCCTTGACTTACAATGGGGTTGTGCATGTGCTCCGGCCCCATAAACCCACAGTAAATTGCAAACCTCACTAAGTGGACAATGCATTTAATTCAAGTAACCTGCCAGACATCCCAGCTTAGCAACAGAGCATGCTGTGGTGCCTCGGGTGTTCTTGCCCATTGAAAGGCTGAGTGGGAGCTTCCGTATTCAGCAGGTGGCTTCCACTTCATGCACATCAGTTTTACATCACGGCGAAGTCAAGACGTAAGTCAAGCCATCACTACCGTAACTTGAGAATGTCTGTGTTTAAACTCAAAGGGTCAATTTCTGAGAATCTCCCAGATAAGCAGTGTACACATTTCTGAACCAGTCCGGCTGAAACGAAATGCATACATTCTAGAGAGACACCCACAACAGATTCTCTGAAACCTCGGCCACCGTTTCCCTTTCAGAAGCCACACTGTAGTTGGCTAATCAAATCACCTCTACCGATGAGTGCATATTTAGCCAGCAAGGAAAGATGTTATTTTCATGCTGTCTGTAATACTCTTGTTTGAAGAGGAGTGAAGTGATTTGGGGGAGGGTGGAGGGAGGGGTGCTGCTTGAAAAATCCTGTGATGCTGTCTTCATTTTGAGCAGGAACGATTTATTAACAATGGAATTTTTTTCTTCAGTACCAAGAATATATATCTGATTTGTACAGATAGATAGGTGTCAGTAGCAATAATAAAAGACTGTATCAGTAACATTTTTAAATATTTATTTATTTGAAAGGCAGAGTTACAGAGAGGCAGAGCGAAAGAGGTCTTCCATCAGCTGGTTCACTCCACAGATGGCCGCAACAGCCAGAGCAGGGCTGATCTGAAGCCAGGAGCCAGGAGTTTCTTCTGGAACTCCCATGTGGGTGCAGGGCCCAAGAACTTGGGCCATCTTCTACCACTTTCCCAGGCCACAGCAGAGAGCTGGGTTGGAAGTAAAGCAGCTGGGTCTCGAACCAGGGTCCATATGGGATGGTGGCACTGTACGCAGTGGCTTCACCCACTACACCACAGCACCAGTCCCTGTATGAGTGATATTAAAATATGTTAAGCAGGAAGGAGGGTTGGTTGGAGAATATATTTTATAGGTCCTTTAATACGATTCTATCTGAATTTAGTCTCGTTGTTGACTCACTTACTGAAAGTGGTCCAGAATTAAGAGTATTGTAAGGCCAATGGCTTGAGGGGCTCTTCCTCTCTTTTAAGAGGCCTTGTTCCTGGGAGCAACCAACGCCTTTGCAATGGCCCTCCCAGTGGAATTTCACATAATAAGAGGGCTCCGCCCTTGCGTTCGAGCACCAGGTTGCAGGGCAACCTTGCTCATTTTTTTTTTTTTTTTGACAGGCAGAGTTAGTGAGAGAGAGAGAGAGAAAGGGTCTTCCTTCCATTGGTTCACCCCCAAAGTGGCCACTACAGCTGGTGCGCTGGGCCAATCTAAAGCCAGGAGCCAGGTGCTTTTCCTGGTCTCCCATGGGGTGTAGGGCCCAAGGACCTGGGCCATCCTCCACTGCCTTCCCGGGCCACAGCAGAGAGCTGGACTGGAAGAGGAGCAACCGGGACAGAATCTGGCTCCCAGACCAGGACTAGAACCCGGTGTGCTGGCGCCACAGGCGGAGGATTAGCCTAGTGAGCCGCGGCGCCGGCGCTCATTTGGTTTTGAACGGTGTGGCCATGAAGCACGGCTGGTCACGAGTGCTGCTCAAGTCCCTGTCCCAGAGGATAAATACTTAATGGTAGCTGAGTCCATAATTGCCGAATGCAGCATAAATCTGAGGTTTCTATAGAAAGAACAGCTCAGCTAATGCAAGCGCCACTTCTGACTCAGAGTTTTTTTTAAATGATTAACCCCACACCCTTCTCTGCCCCTGCTGGCCGGAGGCAAATTAACATTTAGGGATTTCCTGAGTTAAGGAAACACGCTCAACATTAAGGAAGATGCTGTGTATTTTTTTTTTTTTTAAGATTTAGTTATTTGAAAGGCAGAGGGACAGGGACAGAGGGAGAGACATGAGTGAGGGATCTTCCATCTGCTGGGTCACTCTCTAAATGCCAGGGCTGGGCCAAAATTGAAGCCAGGAGCCAGGTGCTCCCTCTGAGTCTCCACGGATGGGTGGTGGGGACTAAAGCACTTGAGACAGCATCCACTGCTTCCCAGGCCCATTAGCAGGCATCTGGGTTGAAATAAACTAGGTAGGACTTGACAGGCACTCTGGTATGGGGTGGGGAGAACTCAAGCAGTGACTTCACCTCCTGTGCCGCCCACCTGCCCATCCATGAGCTCTTCTGAATGTGTGTGGTCAGCCATAACATCTAAGTAGGTTTTCATATGGAATGGGTTATATGTGTGTATAGTTTGTAAAACTGTGAAATTGTTATGATACAGTCTCACATATGAATTATTTCAAAGTTTCGTTAGTGCACAACTCTTGGAGAAGACAAGAACCACCTGGGAGTAGAGTGGCTTTCTGATAAATGTGATCGCTAGAGCCACATTATATAATACAAGAAAAAGTTCTAGAAATATAAATAAGTAGAGAATGACATGTAACAATTCATCAAGGAAGATGCCCGGCAGCTTGACTTATGACTTCCTAATTCAAATGAACATTTAGGACTTTCTCTGGCCACTCATCATTTGTTCATTCTCCCACTGGGCACTGTTGTGGGGTAGCCTTGTGTGGACATAGTATCTGAATGTTGGGTTATCTGTGGGAAGGTGGGTTCCTGGAAGTGATGGAGAGACATGACTTCTATAAAATAGCATTCTAAAAAAGATTCACTTTATTTATTTGAAAGAGAGAGAGAGAGAAAGAAGAGAGAAAGAGATGTCTTCCACACACTGGTTCCCTCCCCAATAACAGCATGGCTGGGCCAGCCTGAAGCTGGGAGCCAGGAACTCCATCCGGGTCTCCCACATGAGTGGCAGGGGCCCGAGCACTTAGGCCATCATCCGCTGCATTCCCAGGCACATTAGCAAGGGGTTGGTTTAGAAGCAGGGCAGCTGGGATTCAAATCAGGGCTCTGATGTGGGATGCTGGCATCGTGTGCAATGGCTTAACCCATTGTGCCACAACCCTGGTCCTTATAAAATAGCATTTTAAGATGGAATAGATCCATTACCACCACATAAAAAGCATTTAAAATTAGATATTTCCATTTTCATTTCAAGTACAATAGCTTCTCCTCTGTGTTTCACTCTGCTATGGTCTCATCAGTCACAGAGTGCTTGGCTTTTCAGGTTAAGACTCTTCATTCTTTGTACCACTAACAGTGCACCAACAGGGTGAGCAATTGACACAGTGGTTAAGATGCTGCTTGGGATACCTGCATCCCACATAGGCGCGCCTGGGTTTGAACGCCTGCTCTGCTTCCAATTGCAACTTCCTGCTAATGTGTACCCTGGGAGGAAGCAGGTGGTGGCTCAAGTACTTGGGTCCCTACCACCTATATGGGAGATCCAGATAAAGTTCCAGCCTCCTTGCTTCTGCCCAGCTGTTGTGGACATCTGGGAGGGGGACCAGCAGATAGAAGATCTCTCTTTGCCTTTGAAATAAATAAAAAAGTTTAAAAAATTCATCCAATATTTCTTGAACACTTATTATATTTAGCTAGGATCTAGGGAAATTTACAAAATGAATGGAACCTGCCCTCAAACAGCTTATGCTTTCACTTTAAGACATATGCATGTGGAATAGCTAACTGATACTAGAAGTTATCATCAGGAAGAAATCTCCACTTATAATTCCTGCCTGTTAAATTTAGTAAAAAAATACATAAATAAAAATAAAAAAAGATTATTGAAGACATACAATGCTTTTTTAAAAGATTTATTTATTTGACAGTTATAGACAGTGAGAGAGAGACAGAAAGAAAGGTCTTCCTTCCATTGGTTCACTCCCCAAATGGCCGCCATGGCCAGCACTGTGCCAGTCTGAAGCCAGGAGCCAGGTGCCTCTTCCTGGTCTCCCATGCAGGTGCAGGGCCCAAGCACTTGGGCCATCCTCCACTGCCTTCCCAGGTCACAGCAGACAGCTGGACTGGAAGAGGAGCAATTTGAAAGTCAGAGTTACACAGAGAGAGGAGGAGAGGCAGAGAAAGAGAGAGAGAGAGAGAGAGGTCTTCCATTGGATGGTTCACTCCCCAATTAGCCGCAATGGCTGGAGCTGTGCCGATCCGAAGCCAGGATCCTGGAGCTTCCTCTGGGTTTTCCCACGCGGGTGCGGAGGCCCAAGGATTTGGGCCATTTTGTACTGCCTTCCCAGGCCACAACAGAGCTGAATCGGAAGTGGAGCAGCTGGGACTCAAACCGGCAATCACATAGGATGCCAGCACTGAAGGCGGCAGCTTCACCCACTACGCCACAGCGCCGGCCCTACAATGTGTTTTTAGAGATGATGAGAGTAATGCAAAAATTACTATTCACCTTTTCTCTGTAGGAGCCGCACTGTACACAGTCCACTTTAGGTCAGGAAAACTCATTGAAATTGCTTTGCATGTTGAAATTAATCTGGTGTGCTCTGGCGCCACCTTGAGGCGTTCTATCATTAGGCAGAGGAGGGAAAAAATGAAACCCTTTCAACCATGGCTGGAAACAGCTGCTTTACTTTTGTTCATTCAGTTACTTTTTCCCCCCAGTGGAGAACTGTGATTGGGGGTTGTCAAACCAGAATTTGTTCTAAAGTACAGATTTTCCAAGGAGAGTGGGAGTAAGGTTATATGTCATGGATTCTTCTAAATGCACTTGGGCAGAAACTTATGCTTAAATACAGTTCCACAACCAGTATACTTTTCATATTGTAATTTATGAAACCTCACATTTTCATGACGAATCCTAAAATACAGCAACATTTATTTGTTAGGTAAGTGAATAAGTTGCCATACTGTGGCATCAATGAGGTAAATATATTTCATTATACATACACTTAAAAAATTTACTTCTTAGAAGCCGTTCCATCTCAAGAATTGGCACTCTTTTCTTCTAACGTGGTTCTTGAACTCGGTTAATGTTTGAATATAAATAGAGAGGAAACAGGATTGTAGTATAATTTTCCTTTAGGAAAATGTGTAGAATCTATTGCAAATGATTATGAAATTTTTTATCATAAAATCATGCAAACCTATTCTTGCCAGCAGGGCAAATCACCTTTAGTGGCATAACACACATCCCTCATGTAAATTTTCAGAAAGTGACTTTATTTTCTGAATGAATACTGAGCCTCCATTCATCTGTAGATTTGATATTTTGATGTCCCAGGTGACGGAAGGTGCACTCTGCCTTAAACCAGCAAAGTCCCCCAGTGACTTCTCTAGAGAAAAAGTGGAATCACAAAAACCCGTGACCACAATGGCCTCTTCTCCAACTTCTTTATTTACTGAAGGCATTACATTTGGTTTTCCAGTATGATGGGAAAAACCAGCATTCTGACTTGTTAAATAGTTTGGTCAATAGAAATTTATCATGTTAAACACAGTTTACCGTTTATCAAACATCAGGATATAGCATACGATTGGTTGTATATTGAGGGTAATGGAATTGTGTCGGGATAAATGTAGAATCCACTTCATATGTTACTGCCTCTATCATCACTGTGAACATTAAAATACAAGTCTAGGAAGGTATACTTAAGCTCAGTTGGGAGTTACAGTGATCCAAGATTTATCTGTGGAGATCAGCTCTTTTTATTTTTTTTAAAGATTTTTTATTTATTTACTTGACAGGTAGAGTTACAGACAGTGAGAGAAAGAGAGAGAGAAAGGTCCTCCCTCCATTGGTTCACCCCCCAAATGGACGCCATGGCTGGTGCGCTGCGCCATTCCAAAGCCAGGAGCCAGGTGCCTCCTCCTGGTCTCCCACGCGGGTGCAGGCACCCAAGCACTTGGGCCATCCTCCACTGCCCTCCCAGGCCACAGCAGAGAGCTGGACTGGAAGAGGAGAAACTGGGACTAGAACCCGAGGCCCATATGGGATTCTGGTGCCGCAGGCGGAGGGTTAGCCAAGTGAGCCATGGCGTCGGCTCAATCAGCTCTTCTAAAAAGGAAGATTCAATAAGGATATTTATGACTTGTTATTACATTAACTATAGTTACTACTACAACAAGCTAAACTGAAGGAATAGTTAAGATATTTCTCACTGTTTCCTGTGGTGTATATGTATAAAAGTATTTATTTTCATCTACTTGAAATGTAGAATGAGAGAGAGAGAGAGAGAGAGAGAGAGAGAGAATCTTCCATCCGTGATCCTTTCCCCAAATCTTGCAGCAGCAACAGGGCCAAGCTGAAGCTGGGAGCCAGGAACTCCATCAGGTCTCCCACAGGGCTGACAGGAGCCCGAGTTCAGATCTGCTCTCTCCCAGGACATGTTAGTAGGAAGTGGAGTAGCTGAGACTCCACTATGGGATAAGGACATTTTTTTTTTCCTTTGAGAACAGGGGCAGAAAGAGGGAGAACTATAACTCATCAGACAGTGCTAATTTTTTTAAAAGATTATTTATTTATTTATTTAAAAGGTAGAATGACAGAGAAGGGGAAAGAGAAATCTTCCATCCGCTGGTTGAGTCCCCAGATGGCTGCAACAGCTCTCCTGGTCTCCCGCTTGGGCAGCAGGGGCCCAAGTACCTGGCCTTCTCTGCTGCGGGGAGCTGGATTGGAAGTGGGGCGCCCTGATACGGGATGCCAGCATTTCTACCAGAGACAGCTTAACCTGCTACACCACAGTGCCGGCCCCAGCACTCATTTTTAACAACTTGCTTTTATCAAATCTGAGGATACTTTAAAAAGTTCATGAAAACATGGAATTAAAAGTGTGTTTAGATATAAAATTTTTTTGACATGCAGGCCTTGTTTTTTTCATACTGTGATTTTTCCATGAACCTTTTGAAGACCCTCTCCTACTTGCTAAGTGTTCACTCTTGATACACATAGAAACAACTATTCTTTGCCACTTATTTTTCTTTGAAATATTTAATATTTAATTAAGGGAAAAATTACATGTAGACTGATTCATTAAGGGTACATATTGTAATTTTTTAAAATATATTTTTGTGTTTGAGAAAGAGAGAGAGAGAACTAGTTCCCATTTACTGATGTTCTCCCTAATAGCTGCAGTGGCCTGTTGGGGTGGGGCTTGGAGCTGGGAACTTACTCCAGCTCTCCCACATGGGTGGCAGGAGCCCAACCACTCATCACTGCTGTTTCCATAGGTCTGCATTTGTGGGAAGCCGAACGCAGGATCTGGAGGAAATCAAGGTACTTGGATGTGGACCAGGAGCTTCCTGCCCAGTGCCTTAACCAGGACTCATGCCCACACCACATATCGTGGTTCTTAATTGCGGCTCAGCAGAAAAGTAAAACGCAGAGGTATACCAAAAAGCCAATCAACAGGGGAGACAAAACTGAATACCAAGAGTTATTTTATTGGTGAAAATGAAAGTAGGTTAAAAGTATAAATAGAAATGATGGGGTAATGAGAAAGCAAATGGTTTTACTCTGTGGCATTGATAATCATATTAAGTGTAACTGAAATTAACACTACGTTTCATGTCAACATGGATAAAAAGCAAGCCACACCAGCGTGCTGAAGGTGACCATGCTGTATAGACATACAAGTGAAAAGTCAAAGGATGGGGGCCGGTGCTGTGGCTCAGTAGGTAAAGCCGCCGCCTAAGACACCTGCATCCCTCATGGGTGCCCGTTCGTGCCCTGGATGTTCCACTTCCAATGCAATTCTTGCTGATGGCCTGGAAAAACCAGCTGAGGATAGCTCAAGTGCTTGGGCCCTCGGCACCCACATGGGAGACGTGGATGAAGCATCAGGCTCCTGGCTTTGGCCTAGCTCTGTCCTGACCATTGCAGCCATCTGGAGAATGAACCAGCAAATGGAGGCTTGTTCTCTCACTCTTTCTGTCTCTTGCTCTCTCTCTCTAACTCCAACTTTCAAACAGGTAATAAATCTTCTTTTATTAAAGCAAAAGGATAGAGGAAAGTATATCTTGCAAATACTGATTATTTCTACATATGCTATGATTCTCATAAAACATTATTTTTTATTATTATTGTCAATTTAAAGTATTTTTTAAAGAAGACTTATTTATTTGAAAAGCAGAATGACAGAGAGAGAGAGAGAGAGAGAGAGAGAGAGAGATTCCATTTGCTGTTTCATTCAGATACTCGAAGCAGCTGGTCAAGGGTTGGGCCAGGCCAAAGCCAGGAGCCTGGAACTCCATCTGAGTTTCCCGTGTGGACAGCAGGGACCAGAGTACTTGGGCCATCAAGCACAGCCTTTCCAGGGGCATTACAGGAAGATGAACGGAAAGCAGAGGAGCCCGCGCTCAGACCAGCACTCCAGCACGGGATGCGGGATTCCCACAGGGCAGCTTAACCCACAGTGCCACAACACGCTGCCTAAACTATTCTTTCAAGTGAACTACGAAGCCTGAAAACCTGTACTTACCATGTTCAACAATCTCTATTTCTTCTTGGAGATCAGGATTTTCATAGCTTGTTTCCCGTCAGCCTGAAAAGCTTTCTTGTCTTCTTTCTCTTTCTTTCTTTCTTTCTTTCTTTCTTTCTTTCTTTCTTTCTTTCTTTCTTTCTTTCTTTCTTTCTTTCTTTCTTTCTTTCTTTCTTTCTTTCTTTCTTTCTTTCTCTCTCTCTCTCTCTCTCTCCCCCCCCCCCTTTCTTTCAGGTGGACTTCAGTACTACTAGGCATATTGTTAAAGAAGAAGTTAATAAGTTTATTTGACTACTCTATAAAAATAAAAATTTCCATATTTGTGGTGATTTGAAAAAATTGATGATTGACTGGGGCCAGTGCTGTGGTGCAGTGGGTTGATGCCCTGGCCTGAAGTGCCGGCATCCCGTATGGGCACCGGTTCGAGACCCGGCTGCTCCACTTCTGATCCAGCTCTCTGCTATGGCCTGGGAAAGCAGTAGAAGATGGTCCAAGTCCTTGGGACCCTGCACCCATGTAGGAGACCTGGAAGAAGCTCCTGGATCCTGGCTTCGGATCAGCGCAGCTCTATCCGTTGCGGCCAATTGGGGAGTGAAGCAGCAGATGGAAGACCTCTCTCTCTCTGCCTCTCCTCTGTGTAACTCTGACTTGCAAATAAATAAATAAACCTTTTTTGTTTAAAAAAAAAAAAAAGAGAGAAACATTGCTGATTGAAGCAGGGAACTTAGACTATGTGCCCAGCAACAGAAGAACGGGGCGAAGAAAATGAGGTGCATTTATGGAAGGGACTATCATTCCTGCATAAAAGGGGCAAGCCTTTGCATTTGCAATAATGTGGATGGAAGGGAGGTCCCCATGCTAAGTGGAGCAAGCCAAGCACAGAAGGAAAAGCATATGTGTTTCTTTGAACCATATGGAGAGGTTTTTTTTTTGGTGCAGAATTTAAATTTTTTTGCGATTAGCATTAGGCCAAAAATTCCTTCATTTCTTGGTTTTCAATTGTACCTGGACCTCCTACACTGGTCTCCACAATGACTCCATCATCTTATTCTTCACCAGCAGTCTGTAAAAATTATACTATTTCCTGTCCCGTGGAACACATTTGGCGCTGATGCACTTTCCAAGTTTATTGAACTTCTGGATGTTCGCGCATCTATTGTGCACTAAGTGACATGTCACTGTCACCAACTTACATTTCTCTCCTTAGTAATAGCTCCAGCATGTACCGAACCCTCACTGTCAGCCACAGACCGCTACTCACACACATTGTCACACTCACTCCTGATAAAAGTGATCACGAGGAAGAGACTACTACTGGCCCTATCTTTTTTTTAAAGATTTAATTATTTACTTGAAAGTCAGAGTTACACAGAAAGAGGAGAGGCAGAGAGTGAGAGCGAGCGAGCGAGTGAGCGAGAGGTCTTCTATCCGCTGGTTCACTCCCCAGTTGGCCTCAACAGCTGGAGCTGCACAGATCTGAAGCTAGGAGCCAGGAGCTTCTTCCAGGTCTCCCACATGGGTGCAGGAGCCCAAGGGCTTGGACTATCTTCTACTGCTTTCCCAGGCCATAGCAGAGAGCTGGATCAGAAGTGGAGCAGCCGGGACTCGAACCGGCGCCCGTATGGGATGCTGGCACAATAGGTGGTGGATTTACCCACTATGCCACAGTGCTGGCCCTGGCCCTAACTTTTAATGGATAAGCTGACACTCAACTATCAATGCACTTATAACTTAGGCAATGTGCATTGCTAGTAAGTCTCAGCACTGGGATTTCAGCACAATTGCTCAAACTGCAGCGTCTGAACTCCATGCTCTTCTCTCCTGGGAAGGCCAACCCTCACTCATTCTCATTTTAAGGTGAGGAAATCTGGGTGGGCTTCTGAGTTCAGCAAGCTGCCCTTGATTGCTCTGCTGGTGGCTGTTGAAACCTACATTCAAGCTCTGGTCAGTTTGATTCTAGCACTCTTAGCAAAAAATTTAGGTGATACAATGTAAAACGCTGGACATGAGCTTCAACCCAGGGTCCCCCACACCACACCTGGGAATGCTTACTTGCTCTCTCAATCAGTGCAGCTGGACTCCCAGAATTTACCTGGTCACAGGAGCATGACCTGTTTGGATGTGTAACTTAGCATCTCATTCTATCCCTGACTGCCCTATCCCCAGCAGCGTTGCTGTGCACTGGAGATGACGCCCAAGAAATCACTGGATCAGACAGAACTGCTAAGCTAAACTTCCATTTCTCTTTTTCTATGCATAGCCCAGTTACTTCAGCTTGTTCCACTCTTCAGCCCAATCCTATTCTCAAACTCCTATTCATGTTATGATTATCTGTGATAGAATGTTTGAAATCTGCACAACTCATATAAATCCACGACCTTAACTAAAATGTAAGCAGGACTTCCCAAGAGGAAGCCAACTTAAATAAAATAGTTAGCCCTTAAAATAGTTAGCCCTTAAAATTGTTGGCATGGGCATCAGATAACCACGTAAAACCACATCTCTCCAGATTTGCATCTTACCTGTTGTGATAATCTCAAGATCCTCCAAAACCATCAGTTAGCAACTCAGTTTTGAAAAAAATATTTCATGGGGCTGGCACTGTGGTGCTGTGGGTAAAGCCGCTGCCTGCAGTGCAAGCATCCCATATGGGCGCCGGTTTGAGTCCCAGCTGCTCCACTTCCAATCCAGCTCTCTGCTATGGTCTGGGAAAGCAGTGGAAGATGACTCAAGTGCTTGGGCCCCTGCACCCACGTGGGAGACCTGGAAGAGGCTCCTGGTTCTTGGCTCCTGGCTTTGGATTGGCACAGCACTGGCCGTTGCGGCAAATGGGGGAGTGAACCAGTGGATGGAAGATCTCTCTCTCTCTCTTTCTCTCTCTCTGGCTCTCCTTCTCTCTGTATGTAACTCTGACTTCCAAATAAATAAATCTTTTTTTTTTAAAGAAAAATATTTCAAGTCCTTGTACAAAGTCACTCTCCAGGAATGTCTATTTTCTTCCAGCCTTTCCTTTAGATTCTTTTCCTACCCAGTTTGGGCCACTGAATGCTTGGAAATGAACTTGTGACTAAAGCGTCCCTTTAAAACAGGAATTAAATGGTGGGCTTGCGGGTGGACGTTCATCTGTATATTCATTCGCAGAATCAAAGCCTCCTGGGTGCCCATCAGGACCCAGAGCTGTTCTAGGTCCTTCTGATCCAGCAATGAACAAAGCAGGCAGAGTTCCTCCCCTAATGAGGAAGAGTGAAGACGGACACACAGACACCATGGGGAAAGATAAAGCAGGAAGAAGTGAACCACAAAAGCCAGGCGGTGAACTCCGATCTTAGGCAGCCAGGGAGCCGGCTTGGTGTGTGTGAGGACTGGCATGGCTGCAGTGGAGAGAGGGAGGGAGAGGAGGGAGACGCGGGTTGCGGGGCAGCAGGTGCCTGGGCCCGTCGGCCGTCCCCAGCCTTCCGCTCTTAGAGCAGTGAGGGGGCCTTTGCGAGGCTTCAGGCCCGGGGGTGGCACGTTCTGCCTTATGTCTTGGAAGGGTCATTGGCTGCTGTGTTGAGAATACACAGAGGGTGAGGGTGGGAGCCAGGATGGTGAGGATCAGGGAGACCTCCCAGGAGGGGAGCAACGTTGCCACCGAGTCATGATTCAAATCGCTGCATTCCGAACCCATATCCCAGCAGCGGTTTTCTTCTCCACGTGAGATACCCATGAGGTTCTGTATTCAAGGAGGTCCACAGGTGTTGACACTCACCCTCCCTTCTGCCCCAGCTCCCCCTACTGGGCATAAGCGGAACTACAGGCTCTCTCACAGAATGATGGCAGAGCCCAGGTTCTGTGTATACATACAGCCAGCCTGGGCAGCCAGAGTAAAGGTACCTCATTAATTAGGTTTTCTTATCTGAGAACTGGAACAAATGATACCCACATAAGTTTTCTCTGAATAACAGGGTTTTTTTATTGCTTCTTTTTTTTTTAATTTTTATGTAATGAATATAAATTTCCAAAGTACGGCTTATGGATTACAATGGCTCCCCCCCCATAACATCCCTCCCACCCGCAACCCTCCCCTTTCCCACTCCCTCTCCCCTTCCATTCACATCAAGATTCATTTTCGATTCTCTTTATATACAGAAGATCAGTTTAGCATACATTAAGTAAAGATTTCAACAGTTTGCTCCCACACAGAAACATAAAGTGAAAAAATAATAGATGATTTTTTAAATGATGATGAAATCAGATCAGACCTATTGTCATGTTTAATTCCAGTGAAAGTCAAGTTGGGAATTGATAATTTCTTTTTTTTCTTTTTTTTTTTTTTTTACAGAAGATCAGTTTAGTATACATTAAGTAAAGATTTCAACAGTTTGCACCCCCATAGAAACACAAAATGAAATATACTGTTTGAGTACTCGTTATAGCATTAAATCTCAATGTACAGCACATTAAGGACAGAGATCCTACATGAGGAGTAAGTACACAGTGACTCCTGTT